CATGAAGAGCATGCTCAGCCTCAGGAAACTCTGCTCTCCACAGGTAAATTGCTAATTTCATCTCTGATTCAGACTCTTTATCCTCATCATAGGAACCAATCCTATACATAAAGTGAATCCTTCTGCTGTAGACCAGCTTTTTGCATTGGTGTTTAGAGTCAAACAGCAACCTACCTCTGACTGCTTATTTCCACCACTTTGAATTCCATCTCCTAGGCTAGCACAACAGATTTGTCGGTCATAGGAAGAAAGACATAATTAGTAACAACACTTATTATAGCTTAGATCAGATCTTTGAAGGCACAGTTACTCAGCACAAGGGGGTTTGGATGAGTGTTCCATGACAGCAACAACAACTGGCTGAGAAACTGTAGAAGAAGCTACTTGCAGAATCAGAGTGCCTACTGAATTTGCTAATAAGCAAAAATTCATATTTTCTAGAAAAAAGGTTTAAAATTCCAATCATTAGTTAGATCCCCACTCTACACATAACCCAGTTCTAATTTTATTCTTCCACAGTCCTTTATGTAACAGTAGAACACTTCTCCTTGCAAATGCCCTGCACACCTATTGCCTTCTAAATTATGGAGGCATGATTTCTGCCCTTTCTTCTCCCCCCTCTTGTTTTTACAGCTGTGAGCATTATAGGATTAGACTGCAACACAATGAGAAGTTAGATCAAATCACCAGCTGGAAATAATTTCCATTACTCTGCTGTATTGAAGTATATTTTAAAGTAAGCCATTAGTACTCATATTAATACGTGTAACATTAAATAATAAAATCATTTAGACTGGAAAGGACCTCTGGAGCTCATGAAGTCCAACTTGCTGCGCAAGGCAGGCCTGTTAGCGTGGTCAGGTACCTAAGAAGTTGAAAAAGTCCAAAGATAGATTCCATAACCTCCCTAGGTGACTGGTTCCAGTGCTTGATCACCTTCATCTTAAAAAGAACCATTTTTCTTAATCCCCCTTAAATCTAAGGGACTAAGTTCTGCTGTGAATCCTCCCACTGAAGGGACTACCGCAGCAATAAAATCTGGTCTTTGCCTTCTTTTAAGGCTGAGCATTAATCAGTGTCTCCTTGTCTTCTCACCATTTTGGTATCCTTCCACAGGGCTTGCACTAGAGGAAGTGCACGATCTGCCTTGAATTAGGAAGACCACAGCTGGTCACAGTATTCCAGCAGTGTTCTCACAACAAGAATAATCATTTCCATAAACCCACTGGTTCTGCCCTATGCTAATAAAGTCCAGACAGGACACTATGGTTCTGCTATGTGCATATCTCTTTCCACAAAGGCATCTGCCAACTTGTGTTCATCTTGCTTTGCTCTCCACCATATTGCCAAGTCCTGATCTGAGAAGCTGCCTTCTGCTTAGTCCATGGCCTTTGCCTGCACTGCTACATGAGGATATTCCACCCCAGATGCAGGACTTGACACTTGACTCTCTCTGATGATCTTCAAGATGTTCCCATCAGCCAATTCATCCAGCCTGCTGTAGTTTGCCTGAGTTGCAAGTCTGCCCTCCAGCACATGGACTGCTTCCCCCCTAGTTTGTGGTATAGTACACAGTACAAGATTAGACATAAGATAGAAGCCTGCCTTGAAAATTGCTTCTGAAGACAGACATCTGCCATCTTCATGGACAAACCAGGTCCTGTGACAGTTTCCCAGCCATTAAGTGGGAGGGTTGGCGAGTTAAAACATCTTTCCACATGTTGATGAGTTCCAGAACTTCCAGAGCAAAGAGGGAAAGCCAGAGCAGGGTCACCTAGAGTACATCACACAGGAACTCATCCAGGTGGGTTTTGAATGTCTCCAGTGAGGGAGACTCCACAACCTCCCTGGGCAGTCTGTTCCAGTGCTCTGTCACTCTTACAGTAAAAAAATTTTTTCGGATATTCACCTTGAACTTCCTATGCTCCAATTTACACCCATTACCCCTTGTCCTATCACTGGTCATCACTGAGAAAAGCCTAACTCCGTCCCCCTGACACTCACCCCTTACATATTTGTAAACATTGATGAGGTCACCCCTCAGTCTCCTTTTCTCCAAGCTAAAGAGACCCAGCTCCCTCAGCCTTTCCTCATAAGGGAGATGTTCCACTCCCCTAATCATCTTCGTAGCTCTGCGCTGGACTCTTTCGAGCAGTTCCCTGTCCTTTTTGAACTGAGGGGCCCAGAACTGGACACAATACTCCAGATGTGGCCTCACCAATGCAGAATAGAGGGGGAGGAGAACCTCTCTTGACCTACTAACCACACCCTTTCTAATGCACCCCAGGATGCCATTGGCCTTCTTGGCCACAAGGGCACATTGCTGGCTCATGGTCATCCTCCTGTCTACCAGGACCCCCAGGTCTCTTTCACCTACACTACTCTCCAGCAGTTCAGCCCCCAACCTGTACTGGGACATGGTGTTGTTCTTCCCCAAATGTAAAACTCTGCACTTCCCCTTGTTGAATTTCATCATGTTTCTCCCCGCCCAACTCTCCAACCTATCTAAGTCTCTCTGAATGGCAGCACAGCCTTCTGGTGTGTCAGCCACTCCTCCCAGCTTAGTGTCATCAGCAAACTTGCTGAGGGTACATTCTATACCCTCATCCAGGTCGTTGATGAAGATGTTGAACAACACCGGTCCCAGTACCGACCCCTGTGGGACTCCACTAGTCACACACCTCCAACCAGATTCTGCCCCATTGACTACAACTCTCTGACTCCTTCCTTTCAACCAGTTCCTAATCCACCTCACTTCCTGATCACCAAACCCATACCTGATCAACTTTTCTACAAGGATGCTGTGGGAGACGGTGTCAAATGCTTTACTGAAATCAAGATAAACCACATCTACCGCTCTACCATCATCTATCCACCTAGTAATTTCCTCATAGAAGGCTATGAGGTTAGTCAAACATGATTTACCCTTGATAAAACCATGTTGACTGCTCTTGATGACCCCCATGTCCTTGATGTGCCTGGAGATAGTGCCAAGAACAAGTTGTTCCATCACCTTTCCAGGGATGGAGGTGAGGCTGACCGGTCTATAGTTACCCGGGTCCTCCTTCTTGCCCTTCTTGTAGACTGGAGTGACATTTGCTATCCTCCAGTCCTCAGGCACCTCACCTGTTGCCCATGACTTACTGAAGATGATGGAGAGTGGCCTAGCAATGACCTCCGCCAGCTCCCTCAGCACCCTTGGGTGCATTCCATCTGGACCCATTGATTTATGGATGTCCAGATTACTCAACTGATCCCTAACCCAATCCTCATCTACCATGTCAAACTCTTCCTCTATCTTGACTTCTTCTGGGGCTATATGAATCTGGGGCTCATAGGGAGACCCTGCAGGAGTGAAGACAGAGGCAAAGAAGGCATTCAGCACCTCTGCCTTCTTTATATCCTCTGTCACCAGGGCTCCCACCTCATTCCTCAATGGGCCAATATTGCCTCTATTGCTAGTTTTGCTAGCTATGTATTTGAAAAAGCCCTTTCTATTATCCTTAACCTGACTTGCAAGGTTAAGTTCCAAGGAGGCCTTAGCTTTCCTAATTGCCTCCCTACATCCTCTGACAACAGTCCTATATTCCTCCCACGTGACCAGCCCCTCCTTCCATGATCTGTAGATTTTCCTTTTCCACTTAAGTTTGCCCAGTAGTTCCTTCTTTAACCATGCAGGTCTCCTAGCACCCTTACTAGATTTCCTAACCATTGGGACACTCTGATCCTGTGCTTGCAAGAAGTGGTCCTTGAATGTTGACCAGCTATCTTGAGCTCCTTTATTTTCTAGCCCCCTGTCCCATGGGATTTCCCTTAATAGATGATTGAGGAGACCAAAGTTTGCCCTGTGGAAGTCCAGGGTTCTGGTCCTGCTGGGTATTTTGTTCCTTCCACACAGGATCCTGAACTCCACCATCTCATGATCACTGCAGCCAAGGCTGCCATTGACCATCACTGCTTCAACAAGGCCCTCCTTGTTTGTTAGTACAAGATCCAGCAGCACTCCTCTTCTAGTCAGCTTGTTCACCATTTGCATTATGAAGTTATCATCAATGCACTGGAGGAACCTCCTAGACTGTGAAAGGCTGGCTGTGTGAGTCTTCCAGCAGATATCAGGGTAGTTGAAATCTCCCATGAGGACCAGGAATAAGGTAATTAAATCTTCCCCTTGACTTTATATGAAAACCTGTACACAGGGATAGTGTGTCTTCCTTTCCAGTACTCACTTTCACCTTAACTAGTCAGTCACTAACAGAACCCTAAAACAGATCTTGGATTTTGTGGGTTAGAGATTCATGAAATTCTGTAGTGCAAAGGTGCTACAGAATGTAGCCACAGGAATATAAAACAGGCTGAAAAGCCCCCAAAACTTGAAACACTCCTTCAAATTACAATAATTGTACAATATAGGGTTTTGCTGTTTCATGTTTGCATTGTGAATCTGATGAACTTCAGATTTTGAAATAAAAGTTTGAAACCATGCCCAGCTCATTCACCAGATCTTTTAAAATATTCTATTTCCCTCAGAAACAAAGAGCTGTACTCCCAAAAGTGTCAAGATTAAAAATGAGACTTTGAATTTGTTTTCAAGCATGAACACAGGTCTATCCAAATTATGCTGCATGTAGGTTGTGTTAGATCTCATAAAGCTGTAAGCTACACATGCCTCTGCTCTACAAAGCTGCTTCTGTAAGAAACAAATAACATGGAAGAGCAGAAAAAGATTTTGGTTTGGCTAATGTTCAGTGGGGAACCATTTGTTTGTACCATCAGCTTTTAGGGTTTTGTGTGATGTTTGCAGCAGATAATAAATATCTGTAATTCCCTGCTTCCCAAGTCAGACAGCTCTGAGAGCAATAGCATCCTTCAGTATAAACAAATGTAACAGAAATAACATTTTAAATTTTGCAAACTGTGATACAAAATGCTCCAGCACACCATTATGCTTAAAAGGCGCTACAAAACATACTTAAGTACCTATTAAAGTTACAGAGATGCATACTGTTAAAATTAGCCAATTTTATTTATACAACATTAGATGGAACACAATTACCTTTTCTCAAAAAGGTTATATTTTTGTGCTATTTATTCAAATTAAAACTGATTTTTTTTTCCCCTCTGCAGCAGTATTTCAATAGAAGCCAGAGTCTTGAGTAGCCCAGTTAGGTGCCTAGAGAATAAAGAAATAGGTAAGGATAAGCAAAAAATAAATTACTATAGTATCTGTCAGTTACTGCAACTTACAAGAAATTATTGAAAAATGTCTAATATTGGTATTGCCAGGAAGTGGGAATATTGTCCAATAGTGAAGCATACCGTGTAAGTTTAAAGCAAAAATATATGCTGTAATTAAGTTGTACAGCCTGACTCTCCCAAGTTAATAAGTTTCAAAAATGAAAAGCTCCAAAATTTTTAAAAATAAATATAAAAATAATTTGCAAATTACATTTTTTTAGAAGAAATAGTATAATAAATTCCACATGACTGCCCTTTTATGGAACAAGCTAATCCAGCACTACTTGTGCAACTTCCATCAGTATTCTGGTCAAGATCTGAGGAAACTCATTAGAACTTCTAATATTTTAAAAGTTCTTTAATGCGCAGTTTGCTTTATTTATGTATGTATGCCTGGGTCCTTGGTGGACCTCAGTCATACACCTTACACTGTTCTTCTCCCTCACAAAGCTTCTCACATTGTAAAGAGGACAGAGGCAAAACCTGATGATCTTGCCAACTTCCATACTCCACAGGCTCTACTTAAACATCTGGCTACCTTTTCCAGTATTTAATGAATAAGGCTTCACAGTTAGGGTTTTGCAGTATGCTCCTTCCACATTCCAGTCTTACCCATCACTCATTCTTCTCTCAATAATATATATACACACTGATATTTTTTTTTAAGTACAATCCACTTAAAAAAATTAACTATTATAAATGTCATCCTTGAAATCAAGCTCTTTTTAGATGGTGAAGCAGACCACTTAAAAGAAGCAGAAAATCAAATTATGACAGAAACACAAACAAGCTATGCAACACAAAAAAGGAATACCTCGTGGTAACAACAGAGGCAAGAGAAAACAATCACTTTCTAATGCTCCCTATAAAAAAATAAACCTTTTCAAATTAACACCCAGTGCCAGAACTGTAAGTAGGTACATCTGATTAATTAAGAGGTTAAGAATTATACTTAAATATATTTAACAAAAAAAAATAACAGGAATTCAGAAAAATTTAACTTATACCCACCTCAGACCTACCACTCTGATTCAACTTCTTCTCAATGTTCATAGCCAACATTTGACTACGAAAAGACAGGCTTTTGGTCTTTTCAATCACTTGTTGATAAGGTGAGACTGCATTGTTGCCCATGACTACATGGCCCTAAAACACAGGAAAGATACAGCAAATTCAGAAGTCTCTCAGAATGCATATCCCTCTAATTTAATGCTCTGCTTTCATATCTTTCACAATCACCTTACACACACCTACATCATCTTACCAGCTTTGAATCTAATTTGGCATCTAGTCGTGCATTTCGAATCAGATTGACAATCCATCTTTCTGCTTCTTCAGGAGTCATATTTAGTTTATCTGCCAACATACTAAAAGATAACACAAAGGTGAAACAGGATTCTTCTGATGTTGGTGAACACGACTAGAGACTAAGGAACACAAGTTAAATCAACACAATTTCACACAGCCCAAGACCTGTACTCAATAAATACCATGTATCTAGAAAGCATACTTTCATTTGATTGAAATTACTTGAAAACTAACAAATGCACACCTGCACATCTACCACCATCATCGCTGTACACCGGCATGTTGTGAATAAGGAACTCGCATCCTGATAGTATATAATTTAATTCTGAACTACATCTTGCACTTAAAACTTGACCTGCACAATTTTTATATATCCCTATTAAACCTTGCCTACATTAACATTCTTTGGAAAATTGCAAACAGCTGAATTACTTTTATTTTTATTCAATTTCAGCCAACAGTCACAGAAGTTTAGACTAATTACTCCAGGAAAGTGTCTCTCAGTAGCTCATTTAGCAATAAACTTCACTCTGAAGATTCAGGAATAACAGCCATAAAACAGAGTTTGTTATAGAAGATAGGACAGATATACTACACTACAATATTCTGCTATTTCAAGAAAGGATGGTGAGGGATGATGGAGAGAGGAAAATTCTTAGGGAAACAAGCACTCTTGTCCAGAAATAATTCTTCCTGATGGCGTTTCCTGTAGCTTTCCAGCCAACTTCTTTACCTTCCTTCTGGCATTTGGCTCTTACAGTACATTTGTAACACTCATTCTTGCGTCTGTTTTCAAAGTAAGGTAACAAATGTGAGTTAAGGGCTACAGACACAACCAAAAAGATAGCTGGCTACACTGAGTTGCAGGAGAGGTCAATTTCTCACCATTGCACAGCATCTTGCTGAAATATATTTTTCTCCACCTGTGAGAATGATTTCCCTCTTGACTACTATTAGTGTCAAGTGAATACTTTATATAAATTGTTACCTCATCTACTTAGCCAGATTACCTCTACAGTCTTCTTTATACAATCATCTCATCTATATGTTCCATCTCACCTATATGATATATCCTATATGATCATGCTTCTCCCAACTATAAAAGTAAATTACATTTTCTGCCACAGACAAATGTGAAGTGAGATTAATAGAAAAAAACCCAAAACTTAAAATTCTGCTTTTACACTGAACTCACTGCAGTGAAACGACACAGGCAACAAAGTATCTGGAGCTTGGCAAAGCAAGGAAAGCAAAATCCAACAATTGTTGCTACTGCTTTTCTAGAATTGTTAATTTATGGTTGAATTAGCAATTGTATAGAGTTAAGGCAGACAAGTTAAGAAATTAGAATATATAAGGGATATAAATGTGGATTTATCAGTCATCTAGGAAGAATAAGAGGTGTTTCAGTAAGAAGCTACAAATTGCTTTACTACCTTTGGATCAGTGGTATCAAGCAGCTGCCTTGCAAATAACTTTTTGAACCAAAAGAACACGGGGGGGCATGTATGCATGTAAGTGGAATTGTCCCATTTCTTTTATAAGCATCAATAGAATTCAGGTAAGAAAACTCCTCTTCCAGATGACCACAAGAATGGCTACTGCCAGTACACTGGGGATTAAGCAACCACCCTTTGAGATTTGAGTGTGGAAGGTCTACCCTTGGAGATAATCAAGAATCAACTAGACAAGGCCTGAAGTAGGATAATGAAACATTGCAGTGTCTTGCTCAGTTTTATCTGGGTGCACAGGATCAAATCAGATGACTTCCAGAGGTCCTTTCCAACCTACAGCACCTAGACTTTGTTTTTCCTTAACCTAAAGTCCTCATGTACTTGTAGAAAAGGGCACAGACTTCTAGAGAGTTACTCCAAGCCAGAAACTATGAAATGGTTTTTATTACCTACCAGATAAGTCTACTCTTTCCTACCAAGTTTAAATTTTATTAGCTCATCTTCTCCAGGTGGAATCTTTTTTAAATCAAAATTTTATAGGAAGATATAGCATATATGTAGCTACATGACAGAAACAGCACACACAGTACAGGTATTTTGAAAAAAACTTATAAATAATAGAATGAGAATAATGAGGCAAATAGGGATATAAAAACCTATTTAAACTGAACTTGTAGCTTTGACTTATACTGATTTAAAATTTTAAATTAAATATGAAATAACTAAAGTTATCAACTAAAAACTGTATTAGTTAAGGTACCTGAACTAAAAAACCTAAAGTTTCATAACACCTTTGAACCAAAAGATGACCTTATCTCAGCACTTGAGGCAACTGAATTCTATTTTAGGACCACTGAAGCAGCCAGCACCATCCAAAGTGCCTGGATGTATGTAACATGGAGGAGGTAGTTGCCTGCTAAAGCAAAACATACAGCTAAAAAAGCATTCTCCCTTCTTCCAGAGCAAATGCACGTAAGACCTACCCTGATTACAATGATGTAACAGCCAATACTATTTTCTTACTGTACTGTTAAAACAGATAACTAATACTCTCAAGAGATGCAAACTCCAGCTTAGCCACCATACATATATACCAGTTCAAGTAACAATTACAAATTCAGATTTACAAATACATATTAACACATCACCAAGGAAAAGAAGCTAGAAAAGCTGTATTCTACACTACCACTGTTTATAAAGATTTTCAGCATAATAAAAAATACATTATAATATTTTTATTAATGTTTTAGAGAATACTATTAGAATACTATTCAGAGTCTAGAGAGTCTAGAGTCTTGGGAATACTATTTAGAGTCTACTATTTCAAGCTGCTTTGATATGGTAGCTTTCCAGATAGTTTCAAATACAGTTTTTTAAAATTATTTCTGTCCCTGTTTTATAATGAGATTCATTTAATTGAGGCATGCTAGAGCAAATGCTATTTAACTTTTCCTTTGTGTAAAAGGCAAGTTTACTGAATTCCACACATCATCATGTATAAACAAGCATATCTTGTACTGTATACAAACAAGGAACATGGAAAAGAAGAATGAAGTATACTCAGCTCTTCCATTAGCTACAGGCATATCAACATAACCTAAATACATTCTGAATTAGTTTAATCTATTCCTCCCTATTAAACATATTTCAAACAGTAAACTAACTGCAGGATGATTTGGGATGCATAAATTCTAAACTACAACTGATAAAACAACTACGTCCTTTGGAAAAATGTCAGCTGCCTAATAGACATAAGCAGTTAAAAAAATTAAATGAGCCCTTTATTTTCAATTTAATACAAGGAAAAGCAAGTTTCATTCTAATTGTTTTCAATTTTTTTCTGAATAATTAAATAGAATTTATCAAACACTGTGGTACAACCAACTAGTTTTCAACTCCAAGAGTAGCAGTGGAAATCACATACAGACAAAGAAATTCAAGACCTATGCCCCAGCCCAAGAGCATTTTGACTGGCTAAATTCTGCAAAAAGTCTGAAATGCATTAAGAAATACTTACGCACCACACTTCAAAAGCCCAAATCTAATGATTGTTACAGCTCACAGAAACTTAAGGCTTATGCACATAATTTAAAATACAACGACCTACCATACCAAAGAGAATCTTATTAGTGATAACTGATTCTGCATGGGATTACCTGAATTGATACATGGTAGGAATATCCATGTCAATCTGAAATATATGTCTCAACTCAAATTTTATCACTTGCCTCAAAACATACCACAATGCTCATAATGACACTGATACCTATATTTATAAGTCCTTTACAAGTAACAAGGAGAGCCAACAACAACATTTTATATCACACTTGAAGTTAAAATACCACACATGGCACAAAAATTATGAACTGTGATGATAAATAAATGGCAGCCACCTACAAAAGACCTTGATTTGTTAAAGAAAACTTGCTACTTTTGTAGTAATGAATCAGTGGTATGTTTATCTTTGTCTTTTGACAGAGACTTGAAGCATACTTAAGATGTATGCTCCAAACTCCCCTGCTCATTGATCAGTTAGATCAGAGAAGGAGATCTCTCAGAAAGACGCCTAGTCTTTAATTAAAAACCTTAAACATCTAGTTTCATTTAAAACTTGTGCTTGAATAAAGCACTAAAAATTTCCAGGAAATATCAAGACCCTACGGGGTTTTTTACATTCCCAAGGAATTCCCTAAGAACTTTATTTTAATTCTTTTCCTCCTACTTATTCAAAACCCCTTTATCCCTCAATTTGCAGTATTCTGCTTAAAGTTATTTTAGAGAAAGTATTAGCCTCCTTTTAAAAATGAATTTTAAGTATGGAAGTTTTGTTAGGTTTTGTCCAGTTTACTATTACGCTTATGCTTAAAACACAATATACCACAGTCAATTAAAACATTCAAATTCCTTGTTTGACTCTTACATAGAACTCAATGACTATTTTAAGCTGATATAAAGGATAAAAAGCCCTTTAATTCCAAATGCACTGAGGACTAGTGTGTCATAAAGACAACAGATTAAAAGCAGGATGAATCTCTGTCCTTTCTCCAGCTATATCTATCCATGGAAAAGGTAATCATTTCAGTAAGCTTGCAAAACTCTAAAACAATTTTCTATCAAGTCCTTTTCTTTTGACATCAAGCAGTGATAAATTGCTCCCTCAGAGGACCAGATTCACACATTTGCTCTGGATTAAAGCTGGTGACAAGTCTCCATTGAGCTGGACACATTTAACAGCTTTGCTTCCTGCTGTCTCAAGGATCTCTGCACTGTTTTCTACCACTCCAATTTTTATACCTTCAGAGTTCTTAATTTCAATTTTTTTCCTTTTTAAATTTAAGGAATGTGGAAAGATGGAGAACGGGGGCAAAGATCAAGTAGAAAAGGATCTCTATCATGCATAACATCTTCCTGCTTAGTTTCTACAACAGAGGCAGAGCTGATCCAAAAGTCTGCTTTTACAAAATTAATTTGAGTAAATAACAGACATCCTTGCTAATACAAATAATTTTCTTGTAACCAAATCATTTCCTTTATGCCACAGGGAGTAAGGACTATTGTTTTCTATTTAATTCAAAAAGCAATACAGTTCTAGTAATTTTCAAATAACGTAACTGTAAAACAGACATAGGTATCTGCACCTACCAAATATAAATATATTTAAGCAATTGCTGTATTTGCATTCTATAGCCATGCGTGGAATTGAGCTCCAAATTAAGACACCTGGACTTAGGTGACACTGGCTATCAAAGTTCCCATTAAATTCTGTAGAGATCTAACTTGACACCATGAGAAAGTTTCAGTCTGAAAGGACTGTTTGTCTGGGGATTGGTAGAGAGACATTGTTTTAAAATAACTACAAGAATTCAACTTTCAAATATGATTGTTGGAATTTATTACATTATAGCCAAAAAAACCAGAAAGACAACTATCCAATTAAATTTTAGATTTTCATTTCTTCCAATGACTGAATATTTTAATTCTGAGGTTTGCACTGTCAAACTGTCATCCATGACTGATTTTTCTGAACCATCATATTAAGAAGTTATCTTACCCAATGCTGATACACTGATGGATGCGACAAAAAGTCTCAAATATAAAGAGACGTGCATTCTCAATGAAGTCCTCAAGGCATGCCACCAAGAAGAAATCATTCACAAGCACCTGCAAGTGCAAGGACAAAGGGAGCACTAAGAATGTGGAAGATAAACTTACTGGTAGACTCTGTTAACAGGCATGATCAGTGAACATTCCATCTAAAGACAGTTCTTGGGACATCCTAAGATATGCAGAAAAAGCTACAGATTTAGCAGAAATTTTCATTTTTCTGCAGATTGCTAAATTAAAATTACATACTACCATGATCACTGAGGTCTGACTCGAGAGCACTGTCTACTACCGTCATAACTCTACTGAAGATCCCTCCAACACAAAATTTAACTAAGATTACAGGACCACCAGTCCTATGCAGTGAAGATGATTATCGGCCTTTTGATTTACCCAATCAGGTGACAAGATAATTATTAGCCTTCTAATTAGGTGACTGATACTAATAAAAGTCAAGCCAGAGGCTGTAAGAATTGGTCCTAATCTTCAGCTATTAGAAATACTAACTTCTACACCAATCAACCAAAGTGTTACATATCTTTAACTATTCATAGCAGATGAAAAAAGTTCTCCAAGAATACCTAACTTCCCTAATGTTATTTCACACTACTTTTCACCATTGCAATCCCAAGATGCAGTATGTTTCACAACCAAAAGGCAAATCCAAGCTTTCCTTCAAGCACTTCTCAAACACTAATGGAAAAGCTGAAACTCAGCCAAATGCATTATTACCTATTCATTTCTCATTTTAGAACACCTTAAGTATAATTTTAAAGCTATATCCTTATTGGTAAGTCTTGTGTTACAAAATTAATTCTCAAAAAACTCCATAGCAACCCAAACTATCTAAAAGCTCATTAGAAAATATTATCTGGTCATTGTGAACTTTAGAGATCGTCACTTATGGGAAAAGTCTTATAAATGTTATAAATCTTACTGTTTCACACTCTCTCAACTTCTTCTGTGCACCATCAAAATCAAAATTAACATATAAGCATTCCACAAATTCTGTGATAGGGTCCCTGTATGTGTAGGACTCCTGTCAAAAAAAATGAGGAAGAATATTAGAAATCAAGACCACAAGATCACTCAAGTATTCCTTATATTCTTCAAACAAGATTTAATACTGGAAACAAGTCCATACATAATTTTAAATAAAATATTGCCTTAAAGTCCCAATTACCCTTCTAGAAGCTGAATAATTATGCTCTTTCCCCACTCCCCCTAGTCATATGGTTAAGCAACCAGAAGTGCAGTTGCACCTTCAGCATTTGGTGCTGCAATCTTTGGGTTAGAAAACTGAAGCTAGAGCTGTTTCTCTATCAGACTTCCAAATTTCTTAAGATATTGTAGAACAGATATTCATCCTAAATATTATCCTAAATATATTCTTCAGGCTGAGGGAGTTGGGGCTGTTCAGCTTGGAGAAAAAGGCCGCTTCAGGGAGACCTTACAGCATCCTTCCAGTACCTGAAGGGGGTTTACAGGAAAGCTGGGGAGGGGTTTTTCACCAGAGAAGGCAGTGATAGGGCAAGGTGTAATGGTTTTAAAATGAAAGAGGGAAGATTCAGGTTAGACTTCAGGAAGAAATTCTTCGCCATGAGGGTAAGTAAGGCACTGGAATGTGTTCCCCAGGGAGGTTGTGTAAGGCCAGGCTGGATGAGGCCTTGTGCCACCTGGTCTAGTGTGAGGTGCCCCTGCTCATAGCAGGGAGGTTGGAACCTGATTATCTCTGAGGTCCCTTCCAACCTTCACCATTCTATGATTCTACAAATACTGATTTCAAAGGCTAGTCCAACATCAAATCCTTTATACTTCAAACTGAATGATCATTTGATTAACATTGATAACATATTAACAAAAATAACGCCACTTTTATACAAAATGCTTTAATTTATTCTGGCATTACAATAATTACTCAACTTTAACTTCAAGGCAGGAACATTGCTAGATCTACATACATACGTGTAAATTAAGACATACTTAAAACATCCTCTGATAGGTACCTAATGCACATTTTAAGACAGTTTAACTCAGTATCAGTCTGCAGTAGCATTAAATACCTGCAGATTTATGGAATTACTAAGAGAGAATTCCATCAAAGTTGTTTTTCCATCCATGAACAACTGTATTTACAGTCTCATTAGATTTAAAATTCAATTTTACAGGTAAAGGTTTTTTACATCAAAATTGTACTTGTTAACCATGTAATTAACATCCACTATGTAAAACAGTCTTTGATCAATCACTTTTTAAAATTAACTGAAATGAACAACAAACTGTTTACTTAACAACTCAATACTTGCAAAGGTTTGGAAGTATATGCAATCTAGTAGAGCTATCAGCTTATCATATAACATGTGACAAATCAATTCATCCAATGCTTTCTCTCTTATGTAGACCTGTCGCTAGTTACTCTGTCTGAGCTGCTTTCAAATCTATAAAACTTCCACCACTCCATGATCTAATATAATGAACCATACGGAGTAGGACTAAGAAAAAAAACCTCTCATCAGGTATTTCATAACCAAAGCAGCCAGAGCTGATATTTCAATAAGATCGGGTTTTTTTCATACAAATTATACAAGATAAAAAGAAAGCAAAAGAAGTTGTAAAATGTTAGTTTACCTCAAATGTTAGAAATTCCTATTACATTAGAAGTTAAATGCTAAAGTAAGGTTTTAGCTTAAGATAAAAGATGTCTTTTACACTTGAGCTGGTCTATGGCTTTGTATGCTACTTCTTTCATGAACACTAAAGCTTAAGCACAGATTAAGATACACTTAAAATTTGATCTTTGTATTGATCCTGCTTTGAACAGGTACTTACACCAATACTTGAAGTGGATGTAACTGATTGTCGCCTGTAGCAACTGTGCTGTCATGTATGTATCAATTTGAAGTATTTTAATTACTTTGTCCTTCTACTGACTGACATGCATTTTACTTCACAATGAAAAATAAGTTTAACAAGAGAAACTGAACACCAAAATAAGTAATCCTAAACCAGGCATATTATTAAAAGAAAATTACGAAATCTCAGTTAAAAAGGTCAGAAAATATCAGTTATTTCAGTCCTTACCTGCTGAATAACTTTGACTAGATCTTTCAGCACTTGTCTACGTTTTCGAACATCCTTATTTGTTATGACTGCAGTAGTCAGATATCTGAGGATATGTGGGCACATTGTCTGAATTGCATTGAGATACCTAGAAAAAATATCCAAATAAAGCTCAGATAATGCCATTTTGCATCACAACAGCATTCACAAGAAATAGTTTATGCAACTTTTATGCAATATGAAATCAAAACTTATGACTGGCCAGTTATTAAATATGGAAGCTTTATTTTTGTTACTTTTGTGATAATCTTTTTCAAAAAGAGAGAGGAGGGAGGAAAGCAAGAGGAAGAGAAGCCAGCAGTGCACTAGGAATGCACTAGGAAGAGAAAAGGGGCTACCACTACAGGAGAGTTCACTTGCTAAGTTCATGTCAATGCTGGCTCAAGCTGGCAGCTATGTTGATATTACAAGGGAAGTTGGCACAGGCACACAAGCAGAAGAAGCCATTTTTCTCAGTCGTCCCAGCCTGCAGCTTTCCTGTTCAACTCTCCAATAAATTATCATATATTTACAAGTGAGAAGTATAAATTAGAACAAAAAGGCAAAACAAGATATACACTATGAAAACAAACAACACAAGAGCCCACCACAAATTACCAGTATACTGGAATCATCATGGAAAAAGCTAAACTAATTTCCTTGAGGATTATCCTCCTATTCTAATACATTAGATCTAACCAGGTACTAGAAGAAGAAAACTTTTAACTGATTTATTTCTTAGAAGCTGTTCTAGACTCCCAGTTCTACATATAGTAAGTCAGTTACCTCTCACAAATGGCTACAGTGTTTTAATTTTAATTTTTATTCTTCTCAGATTTTCCTTAAGAACCTTTCTTAGATAGGTTTCCTAAAATCAAAATAAAACAATACCCTCCCCTATGGCCTAAAAGATGTGGTAGCAGTCAGTAAACTAGCAAAACCAGTTATTTCATCCTCCCAAGCAGAAGGAAAAAAGAGCCAGCTCTTCCTACTTCACTACCTTTTCCTTAAAGAAGTATAATAATCAAGAAAAGCAGATGATACAAAAAAGGCTTGGAAAAAAGTATTCAAAGTATTAATACCTGTAGAATCTCCAAAATAATTTCAGGTTTTGGGCTGAAAAATATTCTATAAGCTGGCATATCTATAATCTGCCTTCATTTTGATTTAAAGGCCCCAACATAAGAAAACAAAACTTACTGTGGTTGATAGAGAAACAGGTCGATGATATTGTCCCTCCCTTTAGGATGATTAAAAAAGACAAACAAAGACCAGTGGATGAGCCACGTTCTTTGCTGAAGAGACTGCAGTGGAGAGCTGACAGACTGAAAAAAAAGTGATATCAGTTTAAGTCAAATAAAACAGAGTTCATATGAATACTGGTGCATAAAACCTCTAATGATTCAAAAATTTGTGATTTCTCCACTGGCTCCCTTTAGCCCTTTATCACTCTCAGGCCAAGTTCGACCTCCAGCATTTCAACCTGTCATCTGTTAAAGATAAATATGCTGAAAGTTATACCCATGTAAAGTTTTCCAATATCACATTCCAAATTGTTTGCTGAAATTTGTATTGTTATGACAAGAGTGCATTTTAGTTCTCCAAAGACCACCATACTAGAATAAGTTATTACTTCCTTTTTTAATGATGAATTTTGCTTCTTGTATTCCCTCTTCAGATGCGACCCAAGGAACTACTTTGCTTTCCCAGCTTTTCAGTTTTTCTTCCTTTCTAAAACCTCAGAAGAGCTCACAAGAGCCATACACTCTCAGACAACCATAAAATGCCACAATCACTTTCAGACAAGAAGAAAATAACTGTCTTCATTTAAACCAGCTGCTACTAAATAAGGATTAAATTCTAAGTATCTCTATTAGCTTCAAATTTCAGCAGCATGTAAAAGAGGTTGCAAAGCAACATGTTGAAAATGAACTGACATAACAAACAATAACCCCAAAGAGCATAACAATACTAAAATTCTATCCTAAAAAAAAGTGAAGCCTAATGAATAAGTCAAATTTAATAGTCTATTATAAACATATGGGTTCACAAAAATTAAATAAATTTGTTACCTGTGTTGCAGATAACCAATGTTAAAGAATTGCTCTGGGAAACAAAAAAAAAACACAACAAACCTCCCAAAAAACCCCAGAACACACCAAACATTTTTGAGACTGGTTGAGTAAAACTGTCTTATTTCAGATAGGGCCATTGAAGCTCCATGAAGACTGACAGGTCCTTCTTCTGAATTAGTATT